GCGCTTTCTCCTTTTGAGGCTGTGGGTCAGCTGTTTTATTATGAAATTAGCACAGCACAGATGGCAGATGCCAGAAATAAAGTAGTGCAAATACGAAATGATGCTGATGTTTGCACTTGTGAGAACCATCATTTATCAGGCCAGGTATTACTCACAGACTTACTTGCTTATTCTAATATGTTTTGCTTTTAGTTGACTTTCTAGCAGTGGATTGAGGTATTTTAACTTCAGCTTGCTTTGTGTTTAAGAAAGCAGCTTTAGGCTATAACTGCATAATGTAGCAGTCTTCGCAGAAGTGTTGCTTTACGGAGTTTTCTTGGTGCCGCCTTGCCGAGGTGTGCTACCGCGGCAGTTATGGTGACAGACAGCTGTCCCCGCAGTAAGTTGGGGGGTTGCTTGGAAGAGGCAGGATGCTGCAGGGCCGGGGGGGAGGCGGGAACCCTGTCAACCAGCTCTGCTGCTGGGCCACCCCCCGCCGCCTCCCTCTGCTTTCAGGGAGGCTGCAGCCTGTGTTCGCGGGTCTCCCAAGAGGGTTGTAAAATGCAGCAGGTTTTTTTTACAGTTCTGGCAATTTTAAGCAATTGCTGCGGCTGTTTTGTCGAGATTGTCGACAGTCTTAAATGAACTTACTGCAGTACACCCATCAAGAGTTAACAAAAGCAGCTACAGTAAAATCTCGTTCATCACTAGGGGTAGGAAATTGCCCAATAGCATGTTACAGCTTACTGATTTTTGGTGTGGACCAGTCCAGAAAAATTGGACCATCTGCTTGGATCGTCAGTTGGTTTGAATTTAGAAGCAGAATCTTCCATGATCGGAACTGCACTGTGACTACTTGAGACTTGTGAGTAAAATGATGTTCACATTGTAGTTGGCTACCAACTCAGTCCTTCAGCCTGCCAGCACTGAGTGTCGGTCCTTCCATACGCTAGCAGAATAAAGTGTACCCTTCATGTTACACAAGGTCTTGTTTGCTCAGTTGCCTCCTTGCCCTGTGGGAGATGCAAGCCTTAGGCCTCCTCTGTCTCATAACATGTACAGGGAAAGCCAACTGAAATAATCTGTGTAGTTCAGTCAGACAAGGTTGGAATAGAAGCAGAAATCCCATGCTATCTCACAACTGGGTTTTATAGCTGTTAACCTCTGGCAAATTGATTTAAACCTAAATGCCAATGTTTGAAGAGTGGGTTTCTTGTATGTGTACAGCAAAAGCTATGGGTGTCAGAAGCTTGTTCAATTTCCTTGACTCAATCAAAGATTATTAGTCACTTGTTTTAAAAAGTTGGTATTGTATACATACTGCTAGAATATGCTGCTTTGTTTTTCAAAGGTTGTTACAGGTATAATTCTGAGCTTTTTTTCCCTAAAATATTGACATAATTGGGTAAAGCTTAAAAGATCTTATGAACTGGAAGAGGCTTTAGTGACCTTAAGGGTTAGACTGCTTTAGTTTTTATTAAGATTGTCATGACCTTTGGCTGTTGTAGACTAAAAGAAATTCAAGGGTGACTTCCAGCCACCGTTGCAAGTACGCTCTTGGAGAGTTGTTATATTTTGTGTCGTGTGGCTAGTAGTCCAGTCAGATAAAATAATGATAGCAGAATGCCAGAAGGAATGTTTTTAATACTACTAATAGCGTTCATCTTGAATCTTCATTATCTTTGGTAGACCAAGTTTGAGTAGACTATAATAGCGACTCAGAGGTTATGAATGCAAATAAAGGTCCTGGTAGCATAGGTTAAGGTTTTGGCTAATTTAGTTGTTTTGTTGTTGACTTAAATTATATGGAAATAATAGAATAAGAAGACAAAATTTTAAACTGCTCCTTACTTAGCTATGACAGTGCAAAGTGTTTAATACTGGGGAGGGTTTGTTTTTTTTTTTTGGCATATTACAAAATAAACTAGAGAGAGAGAATAAGTGAGATACCCATACAGCATATTCCTTCTCCATGAGACTTGAGAAATGCTGCATTTAATCAGCCTGGAACAGATCCACAGAAATCTTTATTTATTTCTTCTTCAGGCTTGTTATCTTTGATGTTCTAAGTATGTTATGACTTTAAGACTAGTTGTTAGACTTACTGAATTTAATACTTGGCCTTTATTATGGTTTTCTATAAAGGTTTCTCTAGAAGTCATTTTGCGATTAACTTTTCATGTAAAAGCAAATGGCACAATACATGTGACCCACTTTACAATGCTTCAAAAGAAAACCCAATTTCTAATAAGCAGTGTTCATTAAATATTATTTGCCATTCATTTTCTTTTAACTGAATTTAAAAAGTCAAGTAGTACTCAGTATAGAAGAGGTAGGATTCTTTTTCCTCCCTTTCAAGTAATATAGCATCTCTTAGGTCTGTGATTCTTTTTTTTTTTAATTTTTTTTTAATCCAATTAACATTATAAATAAAAGGTTTTCATGCTGAGATTCGTACCATTTTCTGCTTATTATGTCACATGCCATCACAGCAATTTTTGAATGCCCTGAGCAGCCATTCTGACAGGATCTTCTTTTTGGCTTAACTGTTTTGCTTACCTGTCCCAAAGCTAGTAGTACTTTTTGACTGCTGTTTCCATCTCAATGTCTGGTTGATTTGGGTTTTTGGGGGTTTTTTTTGCTTGTGTGCCCTTGTCATTGTCTTTGAAGGTGTCTCATAACTTTATCTCTCTATTTTCCATGGAATTACAATTTGCCACACCTTGCAACATGTTCTAGGATTTTCCAACTTGTCAAACTTGAATGGGTTTTTTTACCTCAATATTTTACTGTCTTTCCTTTCTTAAAACTATGGTATCAGCTTGTTTTATCAATGTTTAACAAACATAATTTTGTTAGTTTGGTTGGGGAGTGTGCTTTTGAAGTCTGTCTCCCCAGTGTCTCCACTTCTGCATGCTGTGGTTTGCGTGGCAGAGCAGTCTTGGTGTGAGTGAATTTGATTCCTTCTGGATCAAAATAGGCTGGAAGAGATGCTCCAGGAGTGCACCAAACATGTTCCACTCACTAATAGGCAACCAGTCCATGGCATCAGGTGTTTTAGTCACGGCTAACTCTAGTTAGAAATGCATACAGTATGTATGTTAGGCCCTCAGGACCAACTTTTTTGTTTTACAAATGCAGTTCTCTCTGTCGACATTACTTGCTGATGTAGATGTGGCCTGTGAACTTTGCTATCTGAGTGCTGAGCTGAAGCCACTGGTAGTTATTTAAAATGTTCTTTTGTTCACAGCCAGTTCTTCACTTAAAAAAGGAGAACTTTGGTCCAGTTTGGCATATATTTTAGTTATATCTTTTTCTGCAGGAAGTTTTTGTCTTAGTATTTCAAACCTCTTGTGTATGTAAGTGTGGTTGTTTATTGCTGTAACTACTTACTATCAAATATGTGCACTTTGTTCAAAATATGTGTGAGTATATAGTATTTTGGGGTGATATTTCTGATACATTATGTGATGGTCTACAGTAATTGCCTGCTGTAATTTCTCTTCTTGTGCCTTCTGTATGAATTCAAAAAATCATAACTACTTTGTGATTTACAGACATGAGTACTACTTTTGATATTTAGTGTCTACACTGCATGTTGTCTTTCTCATTTCTACCATCTAGATTTGGCCCCAGTATAGACAACTAGCAGACTCAGTTTATAAGGTTTGTTTGAGTTTTACATCTGTCTAGATTAAGTCAACAAAGCAATTTGCAATTGATCACAGTAAAAGTTATTTTGATTTCAATTCTTTACTCTCAAGTTGAAAAAGCTTGAAATCCCCTTATGTGTAAGAATCCAGACATTCCTTTCCTTGAAACCATACCAAAATTCAATCCAAGTCCAGATTACTGCACTAAACAAGCAGACGTTTGCCCATGGGTTAGTAAGTATGAGTAGCATACTCTGTGAACTGGATGGATTAGGTCAACTAATACCTCTTCTTGCTCCAAGGAACAATCAGCTATACCTAATGTTGATGAACATCTAATCTGTTCTTCAAAAACATCCAGAACTGGATGTCCCAGTGCTTAACTGTCCTTAAGATTGCAAAGGGCTTTTTTTTCCAAATCTTTAGCCTAAATCTCCCGTTTCTCAAATTTATTAATACTTTCCATTTCTGCAGCAGCATGGAGAGTAGTTTATTCTTTTCCTCTTACAGCAATGACTGGAAGTCTGGTGTCATGTCCTTACCTTAGTTGCCTTCTTTTTGGAATATGCAAACCCAAATCTCAATCTTTCTTCGCAGATGATGAATTTTTTTAGATCTTACTCTTCTCAAGAGTCTCTTCGGTTTGTCACATTTCTTGTGTGATGTCTGAAAGTTGACAAGGTTTTAATGGAAATATTTGGTTAATATGTGGTGTCTCTAAAGTGGGCATAATAGAACAGGAAAGATTACTTCTGACATTTGTACGTCTTACCTATTCATAAGGTGTATACAAGCATGAAGCTAGCTCTTAGGGGGGGTACATTATAATTTTAACATTGGAATCTTATCTGAAGTTCTTGTCTGTTTCTGTATACCTGCTGCTACCTAGCCACTCATTTCCCACCTTTTGCTGTTGTAACTGATAGTATGAAACTTTGCACTCGCTGTTATTACATTGAACAGGGATTGATCTGCTTGTATGATGCATGTTTTGCAGGGGGAAAAAAAACCCTCTCTCTGATTTAAGTAACTGAGTATATCTTCTTCTGTAAAGATGGGTCTCTTAGCTACAAGGGTAGAAAAACTGAAAGCTTTTAGATCTTCCTCTATTCTATTCTATTTGTTGCAAGTAAAAGAAAGTCTGTTTTTATACATATAAAGTCATACATTTTTATTGACATGTAATATACTGTTACAGTTGTTATTGTGCAGGTATTTTGGGGAGTTTCTAAAACTTTTCGTGACTTAAAAGGAGTATTCAGTTGCTGTCTTAGCTTTCTTGGCAAAACTATATACTGTTGTAGACTTTCAGAGCAATATAGCGCAATATCTTTGTGTTTTTAATAACCTTTTATTCTTACATTTTAGATGCTGGCATCACCATCAACATCAGGTCAGCTGTCTCAGTTTGGGGCAAGTTTATACGGGCAACAAAGTAAGAATTCTTTTTATTGATGATATATTTATATTATGCTAAATATGTTCTATTTTCATGCTCTTTGGATAGAGAACATGCATATGGCTTTGTTTTCTGGTGATTGTAAAAAAAGACAGTGTGTCTCCTTATTTGTGTAATTTTTTTTTAAGATACATTTTTGCTTTGCTTACTATGCATTTTTGCAGTGTTTAGTATGCAAAGTGTCATATATTGACACTGTATAGCTGTTAAATATCCAGATATAATCATCCTATAAAGAACATCTATGACTTAACTGTGACCCTCTGAAGGAAAAACTAAGTAAAGTGAGCTGGGCCAAAATGACCCTAGTTCAGAAAAATGTGTAAGGAATAAAAGGAAATTATACCTTAAATTATAACTTGATATTTCATGCTCTACAGGAGCAAATTAAATCTTGTGTACATGCTTGGCAACTCGCATTTGGCAGAGAACTGTGCCAGTAAGATTATTGCCTTCTGCACCACTGTTTGTTTCTTTCCCGTACCCTGAAGGTTTTTTTCTGTATCTGCCAGTCTTGTGTATACTGTTGCAATAGAAAACCTGTAAAGCAGCAGTCACAGTGTGTAACGCTAGCCACCTAACTTAAGGGCCAGCGTTGAGAACTGAACCTCCTTGTAGCTGAGAGGTGCATCCAGAAAGTGACTCAGAATACCTGAGCTGGATACAGTTACACAAGTAAAACGGGTTTGTGAACATCTCTGTCTTATCGCTGTACGCTTTTGAATGTTTGCAACTTTCTTGCCAAGTGCATCTGATTTGGATTCTAAGAAAAAGTGTCTTCAGAGTACTTTAGAGAGTCTGGACTTTTTTATCTGGACAAACTAAAAGCTTTGTCTGCTAGATGCATGGCCTTCACGACTTCTTTCGGCTTTCTTCAAATAGTTTAAAAAATATAGTGATTTTTTTACTATCTCAGTGGCTGTTGATGAGTGATCAATGTCAAACTGACATTTGATTATGCTACTGAGATTTATATGACCAATTTCTGGCCAGTCTGAGATTCATTCTGTTTATCACAGTTATTTGTTTTTTATTTTTAAGGTTAACTGTTTTCATCAACTTTGTTGTTCATTCAGTTGGTTGTGGTGCCAAGGACATAATCTCTGTAACATGGAGACATGCATGGCTAAAAACTAGAAAGTAAATGTTATCGGGGTTCAGTTTCTACCAAATACTGAGAAAAAGGGGCGAGAAACTTCTCTGTTCACGTCAGTGCTTATGATTAAAATACTTTTAGGAAAAACAAAGCTGATAATGCCTATGCGCTTTTAGATTGGTAGCTGTCAGTCATTAAGCAAGATGTCATGTTATAGAGTTAATGTAACTTAAACTTAACTATTAGGCAGGAAATGGGCCACTTCATTGATAGGTCTCCAATATAGCCCATGCAGATCTCTTGTCTCAGTTAAAAAAGTGGAACAGGGAAGCATAAGAAAAGAAGATTTTTTTTTTTTTTCTCTTATGGGGAATATTTCAACTGCCCCTACTTGCCAGCCACAGGAATATGGTTCTACTTCACTGTAACAGCCCTACTTGTTAAAAATTCTAGTTTAAAGAAAGCCAACAACAAGAAATAACCATCAGTGTAAAACTGGCTTTGCTGAAACAAATACTTGCACAAAATTAACCTGAATATTGTAATCATGTTTTTCAGTGTACTGTATCTAGTTTGGAAGTGTATGTATTTTTTCTTTACCGTTTTATTTTTAAAATTCCATGTAATTGTTAATCAGTGTGAAATATTATTTATAATATATATTTATGCTCATTGAAATTATTCTGATGCAGCAAATTGCCAAAATATTTACTGTGAACACCTTGATATAATCAGCATTTAATGAAGTCTTGGGAGGCTTGTTATAGCAAGTCAAGACTACCTCTTTGAATGTATAGAGATAAATTTGAGTGTTATCAAAACTTTGTTATTGCAAACTTCCTGGATTGCAAATTGCAGGGTAGGACACGGACAGACAGCAGTTCTTAGTGTGAGAGCTAAATGGGAGGTTTCTTCAGACCTTGTCCATGATAATAACCTGAGCATATGCTATGTCCATTCTTTGCATTCTTAGTATTTAATCACGTTAGACCCTGGCATATTCAGGTCTTCTGCAGGGGTGATCTACCATGGGAGAGTGCTGATTCATTATAATTTTTCTTTTGTTTGGTCTGCAAGATAAGGTTTTGAGTTCTGTGAGTCTACCTCAGCAGCCTTATGCCAAAGCAATAGGGACCGTTACTTACAGCTATCACATTTTATATGCTAATTTTGTTTCTATTGATACATTGCACTAAATGGCATTTTCTTGTCTTTGAACATCATTCTGAAACTTCATAAACACAGAAAAGCGATGTGAGAATGATGATAAACTTCTTCATAAAGTTTTTGGACATTTTGAGACAGGGCAGCAACTGGTTATCTTTTGCTGTTCTGAGTTAAAGTAGTTTCTTTTTTTACCTCACTGAAATGCTTACTTTATTCTGTCACACCCAATTGTTTGTGCAGAAAATACTTTTGATCACAATGTTAAAAATCTTCCGTATATTTTTAAATGCTAATAGAGGGTGGTTAAAATTCTGCTTGCTTGCTTTTCTCAAAAGATTGAACTTTACTTGATCACGGACACTGAAGCTCTGTTATCAAAAAGAAGCAACTTAAACTTTACAGAGAACTGGCCTAAAAAGTTGGTTTTGTTGTCCTAAAAGCAATGTTATTGTTAACTAAATACTCATAACTTTCTTTTTTTGTTAAAGGTTTGCTTAATTTTTAACAAGACTGATCAGTGTTCTAAATACTGGCCAAATATATACCAGTTTATTCGGAAGTAATTAACGTGTGCAGTTACTAATTTTCTCAAAATGCTGCCTTTTTTGAGATAATTTGTAGATTTTCATGTCCTCATCAAAAAACTCGAAACTGAACCCTTTCTCTACAGTATACATCTCAAAGGAAACCAAATTTTGTTAGTGACTCAAATACAGAAATTCCTTTTAAGAGCCTTTCTGAAGTTTAACAGAAATGGGGCTAAATTTGAGATAATTTGGCTTCTACTATGCAAACAAGGACTTAGTTTTTTACACTGCACTTTCCTTCAGTCTTTACACTTTTTTGTAGGTTGTCAGCATAAATTGTTTCCATCTACACCTGATGGAGAAGACTTTGTTCCTGATTGCTCTATATCTCCACCCCTCTGAATTTTTTTTCAATAGGTGCACTAGGCCTTCCAATGAGGGGAATGAGCAACAATACCCCTCAGTTAAATCGCAGCTTATCACAAGGCACTCAGTTACCGAGCCACGTAACGCCAACAACAGGGGTACCAACAATGTCACTTCACACGCCTCCATCTCCGAGCAGGTATTTATTGATAGCCAATATTTCTGCGATTGTGTCTTTCTGCAGAGCTCGTGTTAAATGTTCTGCATATTTTGCCTCAACTACTTTACAGTCTGATTAATTAAAAAAGAAGAAAAGTAGTTTCTGTTGACCACTGCCTCTGTTAGGGAAATAATACTGTAAAACAGTAAGGACTTACTGTAAGACGGTATTTGATTTTTGTATGTAAAGGACAAATTGCTGGCAAATTCTGCTTCAGAATGTAAGAGGCTGTTTTTTGATTGTTCTGGTAAATGTATGGTTAAAATTTTTGTATGGATGTCATATACCTTGTAAGAATATTAAGGTAGTAGGTCTGAAGTGCTCATTAAAAAAAAAAAGATCTGTAACACCTTTTCAAATGCATAATACTTAACTATTTCTCTAAACGTGACCAAGGACTTGATTAGTAGGTAATGGGTCATCTGGTATTTCTGAAGAAATCCAAAACTACATTAATTATAGAGAGTAATCCAAACATGCTGTATTGACGCTAAGCACAAATTAAGTTGCAACAGCTCAGAGTCCATCCTACGTTAGTAATCTAAATGAGTAACTGAATACTATTGTACAGATTCATCTCTGTGGATGGTTTTTCTCTTTCAGGGGGATATTGCCTATGAATCCTAGGAATATGATGAACCACTCCCAGGTTGGTCAGGGCATTGGAATTCCCAGCAGGACAAACAGCATGAGCAGTTCAGGGTTAGGCAGCCCCAACAGAAGCTCTCCAAGCATAATATGTATGCCAAAGCAGCAACCCTCTCGACAACCTTTTACTGTGAACAGGTAAGGCTGTTTAGCTGGACCATCCCTGTACAGCCATGGACATGCTTAAATGCTGCTCTGGAAGTCTAATTTTTATCCATGAGAATAAAGCTGGAAAGCTGCTTTGTGTGTTCTCATCTCCTGGCAATAAACTCTGAAGCTGCTTTTAACTTTCACGCAAGCTTTTTGAGGCCTTTAAGCTAAATTCTGTTTCTGAGTATTGAATTTCTACTGCTGCTTCTTTAAAATGTGTGACGTTTCTCATATGTTCCCAAGTTTGTTTTTGAAACATCTTGATTTTTGGGTATATGCATCCATTTTAAGACTGTTCTTCTATGAGTTTGGGAAGAAGTAAGGCAAGATTTAAAAGCACAATAGTTATTCTGGAAGAACAGTTAACTGATTCAGACACAGTAGGGGCCTAGTATTTTACTACTTTAAATTCTGGAATAATATAGAGAACAGTGGTTTGACATTCATTTAGCGATTTGATGCTCGTTTGGATGCCAGAAGCTTCTCAATCACTTCTGCTCTTTTTCTAACTCTAGGCAAGATTCTAACATCATGAATCATTAGGCTTTAACTGTGTTTTGGTGCTGTGTTTATGCTTAGTTCATACTGATAAACTTGTAGTAAAAAGTGTGTTGATTCCAATTATTTAATGTGTGTAGTCACAGCTTTGAACAGCTGACTACTTTTCAGGCTTCATTCTACAACCTCACTATCTCTGTGCTCCCGGTTTCATCCTTTTTCTCCCTTCAGGCCCTTCCTTAGGGGACTGGCTCTTAGACGGAGCACAAACAAGCTGGCAGTCCGGTGCCACCTCTAACCCAATCTAGTATTTTACAAAATGGATAACGGAAGGTGAAAATTAACGTCACGGTTATCTGAAACTTGGTCAGGCTTTTAGTTCTGTAGTTTCACACTGATACAGGCATAAAAATGCTTTTCTCAATCACAGCAATAGAGATTTGGTCATAGTGGCTTATGTTCTTGGAGTGTGAGAAGATATTGTACCTGGCCTCTGATTACATAGAATTTGCCTTTTCTTTCCTGTCATGTATAGCGGCAAGTAAAGGAGATGATAATTTAAAAAGATAATTTTTGAAACTTGAGCATCACAAAAGGTGAAATAGTAATATACTTAAAAACTCTACATGCAGAGGACAATGATTTTGGAGACTGATATATGTGTAGAAAGTGCTTGTTTAAGTATCATTCAGCTGTAGGGTAGATAATGAAATCCCTGTCTGTAGGAGCATTTGAATTAAAATCCTCATCTTTCACTGTTTGCATTGTATATCTCATTTTCAAGAAGCTACAATTTTTACAAGTTGAGAAAGAAATATCACTGGAACAATGGCAAGTTCCTATTCCACAGTTTATTAGCCTACAGAAGTATAATAATAGTACATATCCAATTGTTAATTGATATATTTCACAAAATTTTGAAATTATACTTGGAAAACAAAATTTTGGTGTTTCCTTGACAGGTGCATGAATTATGTCACTTCCAAGAAGTGTTTTCTGAACGGTTGCCTTAGTTGAAGCAATGAAAGTTTTTAGGTTTTTGAACATAAAAAATACTTCACTTTCCCTTTCTTAGTTACATTGGTAAAAAAGGTTACAAATAATTGTACAGAGGTATGCATTTTGTGGCCTAGTCCCTTTCTTATCTCTGAAATTCTTAACATGGTTATTTCTAATTACTTTAAAAGCAAACAAAAAACCCCTTGCATGAGAAATACTGTCTGTTATCTGGCTAGATTATATGCCCTCAAGATCAAGTTGTCTCCTGTTGGTGCTTTCACCAGGTCTAGAATCCACAAATTATACCAGGAATGTGTTTCTTCAGATGCATGAGGTGTCAAAGATCTGGATGTCTTTCAAATGCACCACCTTGGGGAAGCAAAGCAGGACAGGACCGGTCTTGGCTAACTGTTCCCTTTCTTGATGTCTCAATCCAAAATGAAGCATTTAGGGCTATTTCAAATGGGAATGAAAGGTTTCAGATTTGTAACTGTGGAAAAAGTCCATGTAGGTAAAATTTCGACTAGGAAAACTTTGACATTTTTATTTACGGAAACTTCTAAAACATCAGCTTCCATCCTGTTACAGGGGAAAAATGAATGTTGTGGGAAATGTGGGAAACCACAGGGCAGAAATTCAGAATTTCACTCAGCTGGGGCCTACCTTTGGGCTTCTCAACATCTCCAGCTCACACAGAATGAAGCAGATGATTTGTGAGGGTGTCTTTCTGTCCACAGTAGTCCTATATGATACTTAGATGTCTTCAAACATTTTTGCCTGACTGTATGAAACTTTAATTTAGCTGGTGTCCTTGTGTGGCAGAGACCATCCCGATGCTCGTAATAGTGCCATGTGTACATGGTGATGATTGCACACCATAACTGTTCAGCTTATAACTGAGTCATGACAAACTTGATCACTTCCATGATCCAGCTTCCCACCTGCAAATGAATGGGTTGCAGTCTGACTTTTCACTGTTGCATTTACTGCTGCCTCATTTTTCTGTATGAAATTATTGAGCAACGATCACGTTTGTCATAACTTGTTGGTTGACAGATGTCTTAAGACACAGTGGCTATTAAAAAAGTAAGTTCTTTTGAAGTCATTCCAGTTGTCTTGATTGAGCAGTGCCTGCTGCTGCTGCTCAGAGTTTTCAGAAGTATAAAGGAAAATAACTGAAAACTGAGTTTAGGCTAATGTGGGTTGCTTAAGCTTGAAATAATTTAGGGTTTTTTTTCCCTCTTAATGCCTTCCACTGGAAATTACAAAGTATGTGTACCCTGTTGTCTGACTTCCTGGATTTTTTTCACAGTATGTCTGGATTTGGGATGAACAGAAATCAGGCATTTGGAATGAATAACTCCTTATCAAGTAACATTTTTAATGGAACAGGTGAGTTTACTCTGATTAATGGTGATCTTAAAGTACAGTAGGGAGATTTTTTGACTAAATAAGTCTAATTGAAAATACTTTGTTCTGTTGGAGTGCAACTTTGTTACAATTTTCAGTTGTTCCATCGAAGTGCTGCTCCAAGGGCGGTGCTATGAAACTGTTACTATTTCGTAACAGTGGATTTTAATACTTCTGAAGTCAAAGTGAAAGTATTTTGCAGAATACCTACTGTACATCACATGACTATAGGTTATACCTAGTCAGTTAGAAATGCAAAACAGCTTATGGAATTGAAAAGGGTATCAGAGAAGAAAAGATTTATCCATTTTCTATGAAAACATTATATAGGGTAAAAAGAGTGGGAAAGCATTTTCTGAAATCTCAAACTCCTTTTGAAGAGCTGGTTTATAATGTGATCCTTTCAATTGGTTGTTTCCGTTGTGATTTTTCTCTGGGAATTACTTCTTCACCTGAATTTAATGAACTAGAGAGGGGAAAATATCCTTGTGCATAAATGCCTTAGGTTTGTCCATGCTGATGTTTCTGTAGGCGGCTGTGAAGCAACTTGAGGTGCTGGTGACATCACAGAGTGGAAGGTTTTGGGCATCCCCTAGGGCCTTGTGACATCTTTATAGAGCCGCCGCTCTGGCCTTGCCTGTGTAGTATTTTTGCAAATGAAAAACTGTTCCCATGTAACTTGCACTGCATTAGCTCTACAGCTGCTTCAGCTGCATCTTACCTTATCTAAGGACAAAAGAGCTCCTTGATGCTGCTGCTAATATGAGTTATTATCTTCTCTCAAATTTCTTCTTGATAGCTCCTTAAATTTTAAACAGGTTACCAATCCTAGTAGTGTAATTTTGATAGTCTACCTGTATTTTCCGTGCACAGTCTTTAATTCAAAATGAGTAGACCTTGTTACTAAATACTGTTGACTAGCTATTGTTTAAAAACAAACCCCAAACATCTTGATGCTCCTTAAGCTAGCCTCATAACACAGAGGCTATAGTTATTTGTAATAATTATAGTAGGAGTAAAAAGGTCAACTTGAAGAAAGAAAATATATCCTACATTTATCTTGCACATAATGAAGTCTTTGAGTAAAAAAACGTAAGGGAATTTAAAATACCTGTTTTTATTGTAGATGGAAGTGAAAATGTGACAGGACTGGACCTCTCAGATTTTCCAGCACTAGCAGACAGAAATAGAAGGGAAGGAAGTGGCAATCCAACTCCATTAATAAACCCTTTAGCTGGAAGGGCACCCTATGGTAAGACTATACTTTTGAAAGCTCTTTGAATGAAATTGGTATTTGCTTGATTCACCTTTTGCAGTTCATAAGACAATAGGTAGTCTTTTCAAAAATGCCAGTCACTTGAGCTCCTAAGTCTCATTTTTTAAAATAAATAATCAATATCTCTGTGATTGGAGATTCCCCTCAGGCTTTTGCTAGTATTAGAGCTCATCTGCTTTAGTTTACAATCAACAATCAATAGAGGTTGTTAGGGTTTTCAGTCTGTATAGTACGATTACTCCAAAGCTGCTCACTCTAGACATTTCTTAGGCAATAGGTTATTTTCTGATTGCATGTATACAAGAACTGTTGAGGTTGAGTAGTAAATTTTAGAAATAATATTTGATTACTAGAGGTGCTATTGTGTAAAAAGTCGGCAGCTGTAAACATACTGTATATTTTCTCTCTTTATTGGTAGTACTTGCTGTAGTACTGTTCACTGTCACTCTTATAATGAACATCAGATTTCAAAAAATAACCTGTAAGCATCAACTGTTATCAGTCAGATTCCAAGTCTGTGTCTTATATAATTCTTGCTGAACAGCTTTAAAAATAAAAAAAGGAAAAACTTTAAGGTGGATACAAATCTTATTATTTGGGTCTGGAAAAAATTCAGGTAAGCTTAGCGTGAGGCACAATACTTTTTTTTTTTTTTTTTGTGTTACTGCTTTAGTAGATTTTGTCATGCATGTTGCATCAGCTACTCTGAAAAGTTGCTTTTATAACCTAAAGTTATTTTCGTGACACTTGTCAAATTTCCAACCAAAAATAACCCAGTGTTTTCTAACTATAAACAGCTAGTGTTTTTCAGAGATATCTCCAACTTTAATTGGAGATAAATAATGGATACCGTATTATCAGGAGAAGTAGCCTCATGGATTGGGTGTAACGAGGGCCCTCTGCTTAAGATAGCTGTGAGAAAGAGCTAAACAAGTTAAACTGAAGTGCTCCTAAACACAAAGGGAAAAGTCATTTCCCCAGATAAAGACACTGAAAAGTCACACTGAGAGTGGCAAGCTAATACGGTTTGTGGTTTACATGAGATTTTGTCTGTCTCTGAAAGAGAAGCCATTACATGGAAAATTGATAGAAGGTAGGAAGGAGATCCACACAGATGTACTTCCAGCATGGAGCTGGAGTTCAACATTCAGCAGCACTGCTGCATAAAAAAAATCTGTAATTGCTCCTGTGCTTACACCATTTCCCTGTTTTGGTGCTAGCATAGCTGTTCACACAACTGTGTGGTGAACCAGGAAAGAAATTTCTCTCTCTGAAGAGTTATCTTGAGCATCTGCTTAATGCAGGGGGTGGGTATGGTGGTAGGAACAATCAAGAAATAGGGATCTGAGATGCACTGGACACTGCCTCCAGCAACAAAGTGGAGAGCACTTTTGGTTGTGATCGAGGAAAAAAAGGTTTGAAACTGAGCTGAGACATACTTTCTTCATGCTTAGCTTATTTAGGAAAATCAGACTTCAAACAACTTTTTAGATAGAATGAGAATATGCAACAGTTAATTCATTATCAGTGTTACTCATCCAGTGGAAGAAATCATAACAACTCTGGATGAAGAGGGTGAACAACAGAAACAAGATTAACTCAGTGGTTTTTTTGTCTTAAAATAAAGGAACTTTGATCTCGTAACTTCAGCATACTGGAGAAAGTCATATACATTGTCAGCTACTGAACTATTTTAGATCCTATACATCTATTAAGAATCTTTGACAAACAGGCCCTAGACTACTTCTGTCTTCTCTTCCTTTAGCGCGATGTTGTTTGCAACCAAATCACTGTATTACTTCTCTAGCTCTCAGCAAAGAATATTTGCCCTTGGGTGTGTTGTGTGGGGGCTTTTCTTTGGTTGTTTTTTTTTGTTTGTTTGGTTTGGTTTGGGTTTTGTTTTTTTTTTAACTGGCATTAAAAAAAAAAAAAAAAGAATGTTGCTTTTCAGTAGTCGGAATCCATGTTCCAATGTGACTGGCCTACTTTTTTTAAATTAGGGTCAGAGCACTGAGAGTTGCAGGCTAAATGCTTTCAGTTTTCATACTGAAAGTAGGAGTCGTTCTTATGTCACAGGCAAGTATTTCATTGGTGATATGTTCTGTTGCAAGTTAGCTGGGCATCCTTTAAGAATACGTGCTTCTAAAGAGATTATGCTAAGAAACTCTTCATGCAATTAGGGGATGGAGGAAAAATGTATTATAATCTTAAAAGCAGTACATCCTTCCTTCATCAGTGGATTTCCTTAAATACCGCTTTAATAATGCCTGTAAAGATTACTTGATTATTTAGATGTGCAAAACAGGTGCTGTTCCTGGTAAAAGTACTGGGCTTCATTCTTAAAGCAGTGGATGTGTCTATGAATTTAACCCGGAGTGTTTCTCAGCTCACGCTTAAATAAGAGGCTTTAGGCTAATATGTGTGGATGTTTTAAATGAACATGCTTTGTTTTGGTTTACCTGTTTTTTTTGAAAGTCATTTCTGCTGTACAGCTTGCACATAATGAAAATGGACAGTAAGCAAGATCAACAGCAGAAAATTCTTTACTTAGCAGTCATTTAATGTTATTCCTGCTTTCATTTTGATGATAGTTGGAATGGTAACAAAACCAGCAAGTGAGCAGTCGCAGGACTTTTCAATACACAATGAAGATTTTCCAGCATTACCAGGCTCCAGCTACAAAGACCCAACATCGAGTAATGATGACAATAAATCTGTAAGTAAAGCTTAAATCTTCTTTTATTTTGAGTGTTCTTACTTCTTTTGATGATTATATTTTAAAATGGGCAGTGACTATATTTGTAATATAAGATTTTCAAATTTGCTTCTCTAAATTAATGAGAAATTTTGCATAAGCAGCATTTCATATATAACTATGTAAATGGAATTTCTCAGGAAGTTTTTTGTCCCAACAGTCACTGCGACCTTGCTTTCTTAATTTCATATGACTTCTGTGTATCCTTTTGTATTTTGGGGAGGGGCCAAGGAGGAACTTGCAAGAACACCTCCAAATTTATTTTTGAGAATTGATACATATTTTTCAAGTTTTGCAATTCATAATTTCTTTTTCTACCAATTCCAGCTCATTTTTCACTGTTGATGCCTCTCATCAGTAGTAATTTACACATTATAACATCTTTCTTCAAAGCTGTCAAATTCTTTAAAAGTTAAGGGGTACAATATCGCTTCAAGGTAAAATTCTTGATGGGGAAATGAAGTCACAGGGAACAAGCTCTTTTATTAGAGACCATTGCATTCATGGGTATGTTGTAGACTAGTGGGACACACTGTATCTGAAGTATTGTAATTATCATGCATTAGATATATAGCTTAGATCATAAGATTATGGGTTTTTTTTATTGTTTACTCTGAAAGATTTAAATAAAAGTTGCTTTTTTTATTACAAATGAAAGGTGAGTAAAATTTGGATGGCAGAGAAGAGTTCCCTACAGTATTTGACAAAGCGTTCTAGTTTCTGATTGTTTTGTTACTTACAATTACAAAATGTATGTTAATCAGGGTGGCATAAATACTGATGAGTAGGTAGTAGATGTGACTACAAACTCATGTGAAAACTGAAAAATGCAGCTGTTCAAAAAAGGGATGGGGGGAAGCCTAGCCCCCAAATGTTGTGGCCAGCTTTATCATGTGGAAAATGTTCTGATACAGTTAGCGTTGAATACACTAAGGAAGGGAGGGAGTAGATGTGATTACGTTGTGTTACTGTAGACTTGTTTTAAAGAATAATAAAGAGTAAGAAATAATAGTTATGGAAGATATCTTTTGTCAGTATATGGGCTCCTGGAGCGCAATCACAGTTTTCTTGCCAGATATAGTGTTTACATCTCTTTCCCAATAGTTGCAAATGTGCCAACTGTATATTGCTTGCACCTGAAATTGGCTTGAATTATCTGTTGCTACCTTGTGGAGTGTTACGTGGGAGCAAGACTGTATGGGAAAAATATATGATGTGATGAGTCCAAAATATCCTCTAGTCACAGGCACTTGGCATATCCATTGTATTCAAACTCAGGTGTAAAATATTTTCTTATCCTTTTGGAGTGCAAGCTGTAGGCTCATTATTAGCTTTTTTTACTGTATGACAGGTATACTTTAGGAAGTGGTAAATATTACATAAGGTTTGTCAACAGAACTCAAGAGCTTCAGCTTGGTTCAATTTTAGTGCCTAATTTATAAGAGTGACTTGACGTATTGGTTTAGAGCACTTGACTGAAAGATACGGTCAACAAGTTTTTCCCTTTTGGTTTGTTTCCATCATACCAACTCTGCAAATTATTTTTAATAGAATTTGAGTACATCAGGCAAAACATCATCCAGCACAGATGGGCCCAAGTTTCCTGGAGATAAAAGTTCAACTACGCAAAACAACAACCAGCAGAAAAAAGGGATCCAGGTGTTACCTGATGGTATGTGTCATTCCACTTTTTCTTCTTTAAAAGTTTTGACAGTCATTTAGATCACCTTGTTGATTCCTCCACTTCTTGAAAGGAGAAAATTAATTTGTTCTTCTTGCCCAGGTCGGGTTACCAACATTCCTCAAGGGATGGTGACGGACCAGTTTGGAATGATTGGCTTGTTAACATTCATCAGGGCAGCAGAGACAGATCCAGGAATGGTACATCTTGCATTAGGAAGTGATTTAACAACACTAGGTCTCAATCTCAACTCTCCTGAGTAAGTTTCTGGTTTTTAGTACTATCTTCAGTTTTGCTTTTATTATGCTGTCATTCATAATAGGCTCACTTAGCTCACACGACTATCAAACCCACAAGATATTTTAGCAAATAAAATTTGAAAATGTAATGACAGTAAAATAAAATTTTCATAAACAAGAGAACTGTGCTTCAAGGCATACTGAGATCTTGTTATGCAAGCTTTCAATAAACCTAGTGGCTTTGCTTATTCTCCTGACTTCTTTAGGACTTTCTTCAAGGAATTGACAGTGTATTGTTAATAAATTTCATGTATACATTATTTTTCAAATAAGAATATTCCTTGAGGATATCTACACTTCACTCTCAGCAGTTTGGGGGGTAAATTCGATTTATATTGATGTAATAACGAACAGAGCATCTGCAGTGCTACCCTGCACCAAGGATTATTTTAAATGAAAATGTGATTTTATAGTTAACTTGCAGTTGTTCAGTTCACCTAAGTTTAGTCATCTAGGCTTCCTGTAGAGGCAGTGGGGAGAAAAGCAGTTAGCGACTGCACTAATGGTGAAATAAGTGCTTAAGATAGATGAGATGGGATGAATCACCAGCCCAGGGTGGCTGTCTTTCTCCACTAGTTATAGAAGGAACCTAGATCAGTTTGGACAAAAATGCTTATCTTCTAGGTGACTGTAATTGTGAGAGCAATTTAATTTCTGGTACTCTGACTTTCAGCTGAGAATCTCCCATCATTTTGTTTCAGCAGCGATTTACATAGTGTTAGCCTTATAGACAGAGTAGTATATGCATTTTAAGGTTTGCACATAATATATTAACAAAACAAAGACCAAACAGCATACACACACAGTTTCCACGTTTCACAAATCTATATGAGGCTGCACTCTGAATGCATGAGTTCAGGGAAGACTGATGAATGTGGATATCAAGGTGAGAGGAAAAGCATAGGAAAAATGGCTCCTGATTTTTTCCTGTCTTGAAATAATTGACATGAATTTACGTATGTATTTCTAGAGATGTAACTTTTTAGAAATTGCTACTTCTAGAAATTCTTTCTGTAGAGCTTGCATCAAAACTTAGTCAAATTGTTATGCCATTGCACTTTTAAAAATATTTCAAAACAATCATCCAAAGTCAGCCTTCTAAATACAATTGTCTGTAGTTATTTGCAGAATGTGTTAACGTAATATCTTCTTCACTTGTAGTGTTAGTCTCGCAGGTCACTCCTCCATTGAATCCAGTAGTTTCCCAATCCCATCCCCTTCTCCCACGACATAAAGAGAATGCACAAAGAACAGTTATACTGACTATGGGTTGCTGTCTTTCCTTGGTAGTCCCAGAGCTTACAGCACTGACTGGGAGATGGGTCTCCTGGATCTACATGATACTGAAGTAATTTGCTGTTCTCAGTACAGATTGCTCAAACATAATTTGATGATGATCAGCTGAAAGTAGAATGCCTTTGCTCATTAAACTAATTTTGAGTACATCGGTACCTGAATTCTTGAGCTGTTCCTAGATACAGGTGGAATCTAGTTATGTCATTTGGTTATATAGCTACTTTCTCTAGATGTTGGCATGCAGAATAGTAGTGATACTGATAGTGATATCACTTTTGGTGATACTATTGGATATTTTATTCAATGTTATTCATTACTTTTAATGACTAACATAAAGCTTAAGCTTAACATACCTATTGGAAAGTCTACATAAAACTAGTACCTCATTGCAGAGGAATACTAAACATGCTTTGATGTGATGACTTGTAGCTGTGTTATGCAGCTCCTGAATAGAGCATCGAAATTATTAGTGTGTCTTTGTACATAAGCAGTATATATACCTGGCATGCTGCTGCTTTTCTTTAGCAGATATGCTGTAAATAGCTGCATTTTTAGAAGTTTTTAACATTTAATTTCTGTGTATAGGGTATTAACGGTCTTGGAGGGGCTAGCACTAATATTTTATCCAGACAGTTCTGTATCAGAAAGCTGGTTTTATTTTATACTACAGAAAAGATTTGCAAACAGCCTGTGCAGTCCTCAGTGTCTGGCCTGCCATCTTGCCTTACGTTAAACATCCTTTGCTTCCTTTATGAACTGTCGTTTGAAAAACAAAAAGCACTTCATGTGTGGAAAGCCAAAATTTTCTGCCTTGTGAGGTACTTCTGATGGTAAAGATACCTGTCTGACTTAAACACTTAGCACAATAAATGTGCTGTTAGAAACAAAATTTTAGAATTCTGTATATATCTCTAATGGTTTGAATTAACCCTTCTAACTCCTAGTTTTATATAGATTTTTCCGTGCAGGTAGGTTAAGATTTATTTTGGTTGTTGAAAGAATGAGTATGTATTGCCTGTACAGTCCTGTATTTCTTTGTTAAGAAATAGGCTTCTAATTCCTTAGGATAACTTAAAATTCTACATAAACAAAAATTTAAAAATGCAGCATTAGTACATTTAATTCTTTAGAGATTATGTAGCTGTTTCTTCATGTTCAGAAGCTTTCTGAAATATTCATCAAATAGACTGTAGGCTGTCCAATACTTCCTTGAAAAATGTTAAATTAGTGGAGTTTTATTTGTATCATAGAGGGAATGCTGTGCACAAACTCTTCAGTTTTTATTGCGTACAGAGGTGCAGTCCTGAGTCTGTAAAATCCTGGATTCTTTGCCCTAGGAAACCAAACCTCTAGGGCACGCATGAGGTGATGGCGTTGCAGGACAATCCTCTTGGGGCAATGCCTATCCATGCTTTCAGCAGAAGGAATGGTTTAGTTATTTTCAACATCTGCAGATTCTGCCATGGAAATCTTCTTTCAGGCTCTAAAGCATAAGTTTTTGCTAACAGTAAGATTAACTAGCCTAGAGTAAGATTGACACCACTTGATCAGTGTAGTTTTTGGCCCATATAGCTCAGCTGGGAGTTGGTTGTGTTCAGGTAATTTGGTAGGTTTCTGATTTTTTTTTTAATAGTAATTATTAGGCCTTTGACAAGAAGGAAGCAAGATTTGATTGGGTGTATCGTACTCGTTTCATTTACAAAACTTGCCGTAATAGCATGCTATCGTGGATAATTAAAAGCAGGCTGTAGCTACCTGCCAAAAGTACATTTTGCTCAGTCCTTTTTTTCACTTCTTTAACTGTTAATTAGAAAACTCATTCCTCAGTACATCGGTCATTGTAGTAGAGTTTGAAGGTTCATAATTTTCTCTTTATTAAACTAATGGCTTCCTTTTTTTTAATATATGTTAGCAGAATCTATATAAAAGGAAAATATTAAATTGTAATAGACTTGTGTTCATGTTGTGCTGGGATTCAATTTATTTGTTGTCAATGAAATTTAGAAGAGTAAAATCTTTACCGGTTAGTTTTAAAAAAAATAACATCTGCCAGTATAAACTTTTCCTCACCTTTTAAATCATAGGCTAATAAATCAGAACCCACCAGGCTTCTGGCAGCTGTTCCTATGCAAATTGAAACCTTGTGTAAAATTGGATCCCTAAAAAGGGTTGGGATCCCTGGCACCTGAGCTAAAGGAATGATACATTAAAAAGGAAATCTCGGCCCTGTAGATTCCCATGGCAGTTTAAACGCAATCTTACTCTGTGTATTAAAAAGAAAATGAAGAAATGTAACTATTTTAGGGAAGTGGGCTGGAAATTTCCTTTTCTCCTTCCTTCTCACGCCAGGTAGCGATTTTGGTTGTGTAGTATGGTTTTTAGGTTTGCGAGCTTGGTTTCCGGGATTGTTTGTTTGTTTGTTTGTTTGTTTTGATTTTTGTTTTTAGTTTTGATAAATTTGTGCTTTGCTTTTGCTTCAGAAATCTTTATCCCAAATTTGCATCACCCTGGGCATCATCACCTTGTCGACCTCAAGACATAGGTAAGAGAGAAATAACTATTTAATTCAATATTAATATTTGCAAATTATATTCATTTACATGTCTTAATAGTTGCATCAATTCCGATTCTTTTTTAGACTTCCATGTTCCATCTGAATACTTAACTAACATTCACATTAGGGACAAGGTGAGTACGTGTGTGTGTGTGCTTGTTTTTTGTTAATTTATTACCAGTAATATTCTAAATTTTCTTTCAGATAGGTAATGTTCAAAATCAGTGCATTTTATGGATGTCCTCAGTCTTTTTAGGAACAGTGATGCATTAACTGGCTAATTGGACACATCATGCACGCATTCCACCTTAGAAAAAGAAAGGGAAGACAAAGCTGAGAATGTGCATGGTTAGCTAAAGAATCCATTATGTTTTTAAGAGTATGCCCTTCATGCAAAGCAGAAGTTCGTTATAATCCATAAACTGTAATATTCAAATGCCATATTAAATTGAGATATTTCTTCTTGAGATAAGCTCAGAATTGTGGTTCAAGATATTCTCACATTTATCTGTTGCTTTCCATATCTACATGAATAGGGATTTTTTTCTTAGATGTATTTTCTTTCAACTATTGTTGTTCTGTAAGAAGGATCACTGAGAAATATTGTAAGAAGTTGTAGTAATGTTACATAATAGTGTGAAGTGAGCAAATACATGTAAATGTTTGGGTTTTACTTTTTTTTATTTAAAAAAATATTTATTTTTTAAAAAAAGTAGATGAGGATACACACAGGTGCAGGGAGAAAATTCTGTCTTGCTGATTCATTACTTCTGTTTATTTTTCTGTTTTATCTTTTAAGTTGGAAAGGTTAACTACAAGTGAAGAAAAATTGTTGTTTTAATAATTATTACTCTTGTTATATTAGAGTATCCTTTGCAACACACGTAGGATGGAAGCACGTTCTGGATGTATCCTTGTGTTATTTAAGTGGGATAGTATGTCTTAAAACATTTATCTATTGTGATTTTTCATCCTCATTTTCTTCAATCTTTTGCAGCTGGCTGCAATAAAACTTGGCCGATATGGAGAAGATCTCCTGTTTTATCTCTATTACATGAATGGAGGAGATGTATTACAGCTATTAGCAGCAGTAGAGCTGTACGTTCAAACTATTTTGTCAGTCTTATATGATTTAATCTATTGCAGTAATGAAGTAGTAGATGTAAAAAAAAAAAAACAACACCCAACAAGTTAAGACACTGAAAACAGAAGCTTAGTCAATCTAAAGCTGGAAACCTTTTTTTAAATACCTCCTCCAACCTTGGTTCCATTTTGTACTTTTTTTTTTTATTCATATAGCAGAAATCAAAAGTTTGTCTCATGAATTTTGCGTTATTGTGAAACACTGTGAAAAAGTGGCAAGTGCCAGTCATCATTAAACTTCTAACTTATCTTCAGCAAAATGAAAAACAGTAAATAATCATAAAAAGAATTTGTTGTTTGAACCTACCAGACTTCTTAAAGTTTCATATGTGATTAGTTTGAGGTGTAATAATTGTATGGAAGAGGTATGAGGTCACAGGTATAATGATGTCTTAGAAATTTTGTTTTGGTTTTGAATGCATTGCATAGTTTTGATCGAAACCCTTAAAATTGTATTTTACAAAGTCAAATTCAGATAAATAACACTAAAAATTATTTTTCCTTCCTATTCAAAATGAAAGATTTAACCGGGATTGGAGATACCACAAAGAAGAACGAGTATGGATCACCAGGGCACCCGGCATGGAGCCAACAATGAAAACCAATACGTACGAGAGGGGAACATATTACTTCTTTGACTGTCTTAACTGGAGGAAAGTAGCTAAGGTATCTCTTTTCCCTTGTGCAGATTTTTTAAGTCTGTCAACCATGTATTTTTAAAAGGACAAAAGTAAAACCCAACCTCCTCCCCAAAAATCTCAAACTTTTTAACCTCCTATTGTTTAAGTTCATTGTCTCAATTTCTGATGTGTGAGGGAATAGAGATTGCCTAAAACACTGGCTTGTTTGTGGAAAAGGAGGAGACGTCTCTCTATGTGCTGTGTTCTTTGGGAGGTACAAGGATGTAGAACTCATGAGTTTTGTTGAGATTGAAACCTTTTTTCAAGTACAGAATTACAGAATAGGAAGCATTATTTGGCACTTGAGAAACTGTGCTTGCAGATATTTTGTTGTTTTGCTTTAGAAAATTCAATAGGGAGCTACCACCTCTCATTTTGGAATTAAAACTAGCTATGTGGCGTGTTATTTGGGGGGTTGGCTTTTTTGTTTTGGTTTGGGTTTTTGTTCTGTGGTTTTTTGGTGGTGTCCTCCCCCGTCGATATTTTCTATCCTTGAGCATACTGCAGGACTTTTGTGCTCTGTTGTTTCAATGTCAGAGTACTTTGAAATAAATCACTTCTTTTAGGGTGGAGGCATATTTTCATGGTGCTTGTTTTCTGTATTCTAGGCCAAGAGGCATTAAAAAAAAATCTGAAAGCTATGGTCTTCTCCCTTCCCACTTCTGATAATCTATTTGTTCCTTTCTGTCCATGAATACTGTCAGTAATGTTCACCCTTTACTTGTTAGCTGAAGAAATTCATAGAATTGTGCTTCATTTTTTCCACCTTCCCCCAAAGATAATTAATTTTCAGCATCTTCCAACTTCAAAGACCATCCCACTTCCAGTTCTAGCTTTTAAGACCATCTTGTACAATGCCTTTTCCTTGCTGGATCCTGATTCCTGTGATTTCTCTTCTCCACTAAAGCAAAGATTTTTCTAATGCAGATATGTGCCAAAACACTATTTGAGAAATCAGGAGTGCTAACATTCACTAACCTGGCAAGAGGTATGCTCTTTTGAAAATAGCCTGCCCTACTAGGTGATGCATTCAGCTCCAGCTGGAGCTGAAAAAAAGATAAATTCACAATATGCATGCAACCGTTACACCTACCTAGAGTCTGAGTTAAATAGTTCGTCAAGAATCTCATTCCCCACTTAAGTTTGGTTATATGAGATTTTATGGATGTGGCATGATTTTGCTTCGAGTTTTAACTGTCATGTTGGATTCATCGATGAAACAGCAAACATAAAACTTCCATGTCAGACCTTCTGTAGATACAGTATCACACTGTTGCTTTTCTCTAAAAAACACTTAACAGATCAGACCAGATTGAAGTCTTCAACTCAACAGATGTGATTCCAGTGTGTTGGAACTATGTTTTGTGGTTCCACGAGCTTAGGTATTTCATTTAATCAGAAATCTTTTCACCTGAAGCCTAACTTACGAATTGTTTGCTGAAAAGGCATTTCATTTCTGTGAGCAAGTTGCATCTATACACTTGGAGATTATGAAATACTGCATTAAATAGTTACATGTCTGTTGATGTGTTTTTACATCAGCTTTAAATTAAAGGGAGTGGAGTTCAGTGCCCTCCCCTCTATTAAGTGCATTACATTTCTTCCTAGCCAGTATACTGAAGTTTGCCATCATCTAGACATTAACTAGATATGATGCTCTTTTTTTTTTCTTTCCCCCTCCCCCCAGTAGATTTCCTTAGTCTGTGCAAGCTCCCCTCAGAAATTAGTGTTTTAGTTGCCCCTAATGATATGGGAGGCTCTTCAGTCCATTTGCATGCATGACTCGTTGCCTCTGCTGCCTTTCCTGTGACCATAAGAAAACCAAGACTTTGTAACTGAAGGTTTTAATGGCAAGCCCTACTTTTATGGTTTTTCATATGTGCAAGGTAATGCCAGAACTTTTAAGCAAAAGCATCACTCCCCTCAAAAGAAAACCCTAACAAAAGGAAAGTTTTAATTTCTACTCGAACTATTTATTTGCTGCTTGGTATACTTCCTTAGGTTTCCCAAGACGCTGTTTAAAGCTAACTTATTATTACGTAAGATCATCAGAGGGGAAGTAGTTACCTTTTGAAAGGATAGATTTCTTCTTTGGAGTCAACTGAACATGTTCCATTTATTTATGAGCAATAAGAGCCTCACATAGGTTCATATATTGATGGATCCGATTGAGTTTTTACCCTATGTGGAAACACAACTTTTTTTTTTTTACTAGGAGGTAGTCGTGCCCATTGTATAAGATTTAGTAACCTCTTTAGTGTCTTTTCTTTTTCTACCTGTAGTAAAAGTGTGAAGCTGCTACTTGATGCTTAAGCTTTACTTTTGAAGACAGTATTTTCTCTGTTTGGAGTCCTGAGTGCTGTCCCGAAATTCAGCATCCAGTGCTTGAGTTGTTAATTAGCACACTGCATCCTTCCTCTTTAAAAGTAGAGCTGGCTTTATCTGGTAGGCATTGCTGGAGATACTGCGGTGAAAGAGAGAGACGAATCACTACTGTTCTCCAAATGATTTTGCCAAAGATCTACACAGATTCTCTTCTCTTTACTTTGCATGCTGAAAATAATTCCCCCAACTTTAAGAAGCAATTGGTAGCTAGTAAGGAGAGGGATAGTATTTTCTAAAGATTTGCACCTCCAGCGGTAAGCTAACAAGGAACGTGATTTCCCCACCACACAGACAGTGTCCATAGGAAGAGACAAAATCTTTTCTTTTAGGCTTGTGTATTTCTTAATGTAAAAATTGGAACTGGAATATTATTTTGAAATTTTCATTTAATTTTAGTTTGGTGCAAAATACAGCAGGCAAGTTGAGTATTGATCACAGGAAGCTAGAGAAGGATTTGGGGAAAAATAGCTATTTTGTTACATGGAAAAGGAATCACTTGCTAGAAATAATTCTGTGATGTTTCCATCTATGATAAATAAGAACTTATGTATGTCAGGTGTGATCTTGGCATTGTATGGTAATGTTGTTACCTCTGATATTTAATTTCTGGAGTTGACATTTCCTTGGAGGAAGACTAACATAGACTTACCATAACAAGAATGGCAGTATTTGATAACTCCACGTTGCTTTGAATGCAAAGAAAAGTATGGCCGAGTAATTTTTTTCTAACAAACGCAGAAGTATTAATTAGTGTTTCAGGAAATTAAAAATATAAGTAGCTGGAAGGAAAAGAGAATTCTGATAAATTGCAGGCTCTTACTATAACTGCTACATTATTAGTGAATGCTGGGAATATCAGTTCCTTAGAAGGCCACAATAGTAATTGCTGCTTAAGGGTTTCATTAGTCCTTTTTTGAAGCAGTCGGGCAAGAATTATTTCTGGTAAATTACTGTCTCTCATATATGCAAATTCAATTGTTTTTCAAGGTGTTTTATAAATTTGTCTGTTGTTCTAGTGTATATGCTCAAATATAGGGCAGCGCATATTTTAACGTGTTGTGCTTTGCAGATGTGGTGCATTATGCATTATGAGCTTATGTATTTATTGTACCTGTTTTAAATTATACTGCATTACGATAGATGCAGTGAAATATAACTGTTTACTTTGGATAATATTACTCAATCTTAAGACTAAGTTTGTAAAAACATAAACCAGACGTGGTTTAACAGATTTTTTGATAGTGTCCTAGAATGGTTTTAACAAAGCCCAGTAAAGTAGACTGAATGACTTCTTTCAAGAAAACATCAAATAGATATATTTATCTGTTTTATTAAGCCATAGGCTCTATTTTGGTATACCTAATGGATAATAGACCGAAGATGGAAATGCAGCAAAACAGCTGAGTAATGAGACAATTTCTAAACTGTTAGGAAATAAAATCAAATTACTTCTATGTTGATACATGGTAGTAAATAGTGAAAAAATATGAATGAAAACAAACTTCAGATTCACCTTAAATGCAAAACAAAATGCAGGAAAATGCTGATTACAGATATGTCTGTATATATGGTTTTTCATCCTAGGGCATGTGGAAAGTACAGTATGGTTAAAGACACTGATTTTTTTTCACTGAGGATTTGGCTAGAGTTTGCTGTTGTTGAGGAGACATGAGAGAGAGACAAATGAGAGAGGAAGGGAGGTGGATATGAGACCAAAAATGCCTTCTACAATTGCACATCTACTGAAATCCTGATTTTAAATTGTCTGAAGGAAACTGTCTGGAATTTCTCCTTTGAAAAGTAAGGAGAATTAATCCTGTTTAAGGAACAAGATAATAAAACCCTTTTAACTTGGTTTTGTAGTTACAAAACATGGAATTCTTTATGGGAGAGAAGGTTAATTTCCAAGTGTTTATTTGCTAGTAAGGGTTGCTGCTTATATTAAATTACTCCCCATCCTTTTAAGATCAATATTAATTGAAATACTTTTATAATTGCTAGAAAGTTAAATTTGTTCTTCTAATAGAGATGTGCCATAGCATTTTAATTCAGCCCCTAATTTAAATTTGGATCTCTGCATCCATCTTTAAGCCAGTAAAAATGCTGCTTTTTCGTTCCCATTTGGAATTTTTGAGCTAGCCGTGGGATTTCTGTCATCTCCTTTGGTGGGCTTACACAGTCCGGAATATTTTGTCCTCAGGACACTTCCTATTCAGCTAACTTTTTTGTTTTGTCTATTAATGCTATGGATCACCTTAAGCAATTCTATTCTATCTTTAGGATTTTTACCTATTATTCTTTGTACACGTGCGGCCTGATGTAACTTTACCATCAAAACAAGTTTTCAGGATGACACGAGAAGTGATTGATTTCTTTGCGTAGAACAACTTAGTGTCATACATGTGCTATAAGTTTCCACACACATTTAGTATTCATTATTCTTGGTTAATAAAAGGTATTTAATTTTTAATAATTACTTCCATGTGGAAAATAAAACAGTTTAACAGATGTTTGTCAATGGATAAATGGCATTTTTACACTTTATTTGTATCTGTTTATATTAAAACATATCAGTGCTACTGTGCACGTCCTAAACCACAGTGGCCCCTGGAATCAAAAGCAAAAACATAAAGTATGCCTGTAATACAAGTATTTTTCTATATGTAATAAATAATTGTCTTTTAGTTTTCAAAAATATTTGGTCAATGAGTTCTTTTTTTGGTATTGTCAGATATAACTTTAGGTGTTCTTACACACTACTGAACATTGGACTTGAGCATTGCTGACACTGGGATGCAAATCAAAAAGGCTGTTCTAAGCCTGTTTATTTTAAAAATCGATGACAGTTTGAAGTATGAACTCAGGTACTTCTAAAGAAACTTTGTTAGGGAATCATATTCCTTCTTCTAAATGAGGGGCTTCCAATTTGTGGCACACAGAGCACTGCTCAAGCTACTGAGCATTTCTTTCAGACACACACTTTGCTCGCAGCTACTACTGCCAATAGGAGGGACGCAACCGCCTCAAGTTTGGAAAGCCCTTTTTAGGCTACTGATACTGTCTTACCGGTTTAGGTAGCCATTTCCCATGGGTAATTTTGAAGGCATTTCAGAGCGTGTGGAGGTTCAGGTAGCTGACTGAAGCTTTTATTATTAACCCTTCTCTTTGTTTACAATTTTGTTAAAGAAGCAATTCCCCGACAGCTGACCGTAGATTGATAGTGATCTGCAGGCCCTTCCGCGATTATGTGCAAAATGGCAACTTCGAAAGCCATGAATGGGAGAAAAGTTTGAGTGGTATTTTTTCTGTTATAAAAAGACTTCAGAATTACTGAAGATCCGCCCAACCTAAACCAGCCTTTGACACCAAAGTACCCGCATAGATCTGTACGCCTTCATCTTGCTTCTGTCAAAAGGAGGGAGCAGGCATCTCTTCAGTATCAGCACATGCATATGTATCTGCACAACAAGAGAACATGCACCAACTGGCATGCAGTGTTAGTTAGGAATGCCAAAAGCAATTGACTTGTATATACAACCTAAAAAAGCCCAAACAAACCCACCACCAAAATAAAAAAAACCCAACCAACCGAAAAAAAAACCCTTGGTTGGAGTAGCGAGCGGGGAACCAGAAATGAAGCAGATGTGCAGCACTTCAGTGCAGATGGCTGTGACCTCACATAGGTTTTGCTAGGATTTTCCAGGTTTAGGGACAGTGTTCTCTGGGGAATACAGGCTTACTGAATGCTTAGCATTTTCCCCTACTTTGTTTCCTTACCATGCTAAATGTTCTTTCTATGCTAGATGGACCTTGTTTCGCCTTAAAGAAGAGAAGTCGGATTTCCTAGATTTTATTTCTGGTCTTGCATTGACTTGGTCTTTAATTTAGTTTGTCTACCTGTAAAAACTGAAATATTACGCTATTTAATCACTTTAGGGAGTGTTCTAAAATGATCTATTCACTACTCCTGTGTTTCTATCCATATATAAAAACAGCAGAGTAAGTTTGCTCTGCAGATACAGGTGATGTTCTGCTGAGGTTCTCCACTGAGTTAGGCCAAATAAGTTACTGCGCGTGTCCAAAGTAGCTGTTGTTGAATTACCAAGTAGCAGCATTAAAGAACAATTCTGAAACTTCTGCTTACTCTGCTTCTTGTACAAAGACAAAATGGGGATGAGACACAGTTAAACTGCTGAAAGGATCTGAAAAATATGAGGCTTAAGTAAGTCCTTGTACATTTTTGCATGAATGAAGTAACAAGCACCAAATGTCCCAGTGCACTAATTAGGATTGTGTGCACAAATTAAGGTCACGGGGAAGGAAACTGTGCTTTTCACTGTAATAATCAGATGCATTTAGACATCGGGGTGGTTACAATTGTAGTAGTAGTAGTTGCTATAGTCAGAATACGAATTCCTACTGGATCTGTGAAGTGTTTTACAATTATGCAAACAAGACATCCTCAAACAAAAGTCAGGTGATTTTGCCAGTGAGACGTAAAGCTGCTTATTTATGAACCAAGTAACCTGTGTGGCATCCAAGCACAAGGGCAAAGATTCTTATTCTGTGTGGTTGTTTATAAAACACCAGCAGAATATCTCATGAAAGACGTTGGGAAAGGATGATATAGGAACAAGGAGCTCAAGATATACAGGAGGGTTGGGTGAAGCTTAAATCTGAGTATGAAATGCGGTGGAATATTTTGCTGAATTCTGGTTTGAATAGGTTGCAGTAGTTTGTATCTAGCGTTTCAGATAATGTTCCCCAGTTTTGTACTAAGAAGGAGAAACCTAGCTAGTTTAACTTACAGTTGGGTCTGGTAGTATGGCACAAAACACCCCAGAACTTCAGGTCAAAATAAGTCTCTGTACATCTGAACTGTGGAAAGACAGAAGCTTTTATTCATAATTCAGCTCATGCCATGATTGTATATTTGCGTGTTTTGTGTGTGTGCGTGTATATATATAAAATCGCTTGAGATCGTACCTAGGGTTCTGAGAGTAATGTAACATTAAAAAGAATAGGAGAGCCTACGTGTCGCAGGTGTAATGGCTGAGAATATTGACTTTTTCCTAGTTAAAATATAGAATCCCAGAGGGCAAAATCGTGTGTTTCAGCCTTGAGATAAGTCAGGACTTGATCTCTTCCGTATTTGTGCTTTGCAAGTACGGCTGGTAGAACGAACGGTTCTCGACAGGAAATTGATATGTTGTTTTATTTGGTTTTGTCTTTTTTTTTATTTTAATTGTAGGAGTTCCATCTGGAATATGACAAATTAGAAGAAAGGCCTCATCTGCCATCAACCTTCAACTACAACCCTGCTCAGCAAGCCTTCTAAAGACTTCCCTTTTCTTGGGGTATGGCTGTCTCAGCACAATACTCAACATAACTGCAGAACTGATGTGGCTCAGGCACCCTGGTTTTAATTCCTTGAGGATCTGGCAATTGGCTCATGCGAAGGGTCACCATTTGAGGTCCTGCCTTACTAATTATGTGCTGCCCAACAACTAAATTTGTAATTGTTTTCCTTTAGTTTGAGCAGGGTCTGAATTTTTGTTTTTGTTTTATTTTTTGCCAGCAGACAAGCTTGGGTCTGTAAAGACAAGCGAGTACACTGACAAAAGTTTACCATTTAGTTTTCCAAAATGTAAAAACAAAAAAAAAAGAAAAAAGACAAAAAATTAGACAACAAAATTTGCATTGTTCATTGTAGCACTATTGGTAATAAAAAATGTTTGTGCATTTTTATGTGAAGATCCTTCTCGTATTTCATTTGGAAAGATGAGCAAGGTTTGCTTCCTTCATTTTACTTCCCCTTCTGTTTTTGAAAGGCAGTTTTCGCCAAGCTTAATGCAAGAATATCTGACTGTTTAGAAGAAAGATATTGCCACAGTCTCTGGTTAGTTTCCAGAGTTGTGTATTACTGAGCTTCATCTTTCCAGAATGAGCAAAACACTGTCCAGTCTTTGTTACGATTTTGTAATAAATGTGTACATTTTTTTTAAATTTTTGGACATCACATGAATAAAGGTATGTATGTACGAATGTGTATATATTATATATATGACATCTATTTTGGAAAATGTTTGCCCTGCTGTACCTCATTTTTAGGAGGTGTGCATGGATGCAATATATGAAAACGGGACATTCTGGAACTGCTGGTCAGGGGACTACTTTGTCGCCCTGTGCACTAAAGGGCCAGATTTTCAGCAGCCAAGGACATCCATACCCAAGTGAATGTGATGGGACTTAAAGAAGTGAACTGAGACAATTCACTCTGGCTGTTTGAACAGCAGCGTTTCATAGGAAGAGAAAAAAAAAAAAGATCAATCTTGTATTTTCTGACCACATAAAGGCTTCTTCTCTTTGTAATAAAGTAGAAAAGCTCTCCTCACTGCAGTGTTGACTTTGATTTGAGATTGTGAAATTATTTCTTCAACAATGAAAAATGGAAAGAAAAAAAGTTGAAGTATTAAAACCATCGAGCTGTACAGTGGTTAAGACACTTGAAGAGTCTTTTTGCTGCTGACAAGTAAATTGATGAGAGGGTTTTATATTCTTTTCCACAGTAAAGTTTCCACAGCCAAAAAGTTTGGTTAACCTTGGTTTCAGATCCCCTCTCTATAATAGCAAATGGCAAATCCTTTTCAGAAAGGCGGGTGGGTAACGTTGCAAACGATAGAAAGATGCTTCAAGAATTCACCACAGAAGGAACGCTTGGAAGAAGCTTGGTTTAGAACTGATCATAGCTTAGTTCCAGGTTGGTATTTTCCCCACTTAAAACAGAAATACATTTCATTCGATGATCGCTAGTACTTAAACCTCCAGACACAAACGAACATGAATATACACCGGTTCTGAAAATCATAACTGTTCTCTAGAGCGGAGGAAGAAAAACCTGAACCGTTTGGATAGTTTCCTTTTTCTTGATGTGACTGCCACTTCTCATTGAGTTGCCTCTGGTGATGCAAACCATTTCAAAATGCCCGAAATTACCAAAGCAAGAAAAGACAGCAAAACACGTATCACTGAATCCGTGGGGTTTTATGTTTAGGTTTTAACCTGTTTTTCTCTATAGTGCAAAAACACTTTGTTGGCATGTATTGAACTATGCTTGGAAATTGGACCATTAATGGCATTGCTGTGGTTCCGTATCAGGCGTATAGAAATTTTAAATTCTACACTTTTTAAATATCTATTTTAAGATGATAGACATAAAATATAAGTCTGTTGTTTATAATTTTTTTATTATTATTAAAGCAAACTGCTTTCTCAACTTGAAAGAAGAGGATGGTTATAATCCAGATGATGGCTAACACAGCTGAAAAAGATGGTGGCTTTTTCTTTTTCTCAAATTAGAGCTGATACAAACATACGTTTGACTATCCAAACATAAATTTATATGTTTTAAAAAGGATAATTTTCCAAAAGCATCCTGCTCACTCGACAGTGTTACATTTTTTCCTGTCAGAGGTCTGCTGTGATCTTTGCCTTTTTTTTTTTTTTTAAGGGTCCCTGAAACCGATGTTTACACCTTCAAATCAAATGTGATTATTTCTTATTATATGAGCTTGGGGGGCTTTAATGTCATTTTTCCTCTGCATAGCCAATCTCACGGAAACGAACAACAGATATGGTAAAGGGAGCAAGATAAGTTACACTAAAAATGGTATCTTATACTACTAATACTGGTACTAAATGGTACTTTAAAAACAATTAAGCTGAAATTGAGAACCTAAGTTCTCCAAAAAGTTACTTTGATGATACAGTTGCATTCAACTGCAGGATACTTCAAAAATGTGAGATGCCTGATTTTAGCAAACTTCTCACCTGGAGCAAGGAACTGGTGCTTTGCTCCTTCCAAGGGGAAGAACAGTCTGGCTCTTCGTTTGTCGATTAAAGCAGCATATATGGAGACTTTAAAACCTGTGGCTTCATTTCATGTTGCACTCTGGGTTGAAGCAGGAGAAACAGGTTTAAACAGAAAACAAGGTGTAAAATTGGAAATGCTTCTTAGTTGATACCACATTAATTAAAAAAATGGGAAAAAAAAAAACCCATACTGCCTTTTTTTCTGAAAGGAGGAAAACCTCAGCCCTCATTTACAACATTTACACATGTGGCAAATTGGCAACTGAATTGACCTGGAGATTTTTAACACCAACAATTAACGTCTGAGGCTTATTTAATATGTTTGTACATTCCACTGACACTGAGTAAGGGGAGAGAATAGAATACTATTTTAAAAACACGTTTATTTGAGGTGGGTTTTTTCCCCCATAATTATAGCATTGTACAACAACGTGCAAGGTAAGTTCTGAGTAGTAAACCTGGTGTTCCTGGAAACAAGTAGAGGTATTCCTATTTGTGGCCTGTTTAACACGCGCTCATATTCATTGCTCCTTACTGCATATTGTTTATAAATTTCTATTGAGTAGTCAGCTCCAGTTTGTCTGGAAATCCACTACCCTGAACTTCCAGGGCTAAAATGGGTTTCACCCACTTGGTTATCCCGAGTAGTGCAGAAAACACTTGCATTTGTTACTTTAACAGTTTTTACTCAAGCCACCCTGCTTGTGGGAAAATCGAGGGTAGCAGGGAGTCACAGAGGAAGGAGGTAAGGATGCTCCACCGGGGTGTGTGAAAACGAAACAAAAAACCACCTGGCACTCAATCTTCTCTGCCTTAGTACCTGCTGCCACAAATACTGAAGCACGTGACAACCTTCATGGGCTTGATTAATCTAATTGAAGACCCAAGTAATCCAGGGAAGCCTGCAGGTACTCACATGGGTAAAACTGTTTTGCACGTGACTGTGCCCTCCGTTCAAGTGTCGGCTGTGTGTGGGTCAGGATTCATGACTGACCACACTGCTCTTTCACAGACGTGACATCTGTGTATGCGGTACAAAGATGTATGATCTTGCCACTTTGCTGTGTGTCACGTCTGAAATCCTCTCTATCCCTAAGTCAGTATTTTTTGTACTTCTCTGTTTGCATTTTACAGTTTTCATGGGAGAAAAAAAAATACTGAGAATGTACCCAAAATAAGAACTTGTGTATTGTAGTCAGATGCAAAATTGTTTGCAGAGTGCTGAGGGGCTCTTTCTGTTGACCGTAAGGAGACCAGAAACTCTCCTTGGCATGACCTAAGCAGTGCTGGAAGTCATAGAGGTCTGTGGGGCAGTCAGCTCCATCCCGCGTGGCTCGTGGGTGGCCATGGCTATTGAAGAAGGATGTTTGGTTTCTAAATAACATTGTTGTAAAGATATTTGTCACCTAAAAGGAGCACCTTTTTAAATTAATTCCTCGCAATTTCTGATTGAAAGTAGTTCCATGGCTGGATACTGACTGAAACAAAAAAGAAAACTTGATTGCTATCTGTCACGCTCAAGAAGAGCTTCTACATGCACAGTTGCCATCCTAAGCATGAGGTAGCTAGACGGTGCTTTTGATTTAAGATCCTAAATATAACAGTTGCCTCTATTAAAGCAAAATTTCTGAATGTGCTTAGTTTTCAAGTACCATACCCTTTCATAGTGTTCCTCAAAATTTGTCACTACCTAAAAATTACGCTCGTAGAAGCTGAATTCTGGTAAAGGGTGCAGATTGGGCTGAGCAGTTAGTCTGGATTGACAACAGGTGCTTTTATGTTCGTATACTATGAGAATTAAAATGGTGTAGCTGTTTCTGCTTCTCTCCTGATAATCGTGCGTGCTCTCATTTCCACAAATCGGAAAGCTTCTAGTACATTTAAAAGACCAGAGGAAATGCAGGTGGATGACTTATTTTGAAACTGTGGTTTGAATTACTTCAATAGGTTTACCTCTTAAAACCGCTTCACTGTTGGAGTTAAACTTTATTTTTTTGAAAGTAATGTGAAAGCACGTCGAACAATAGTTTGAATATTACTGATTCAACCCACTTCAGAATCCGCAGTGCTAACCGAGCTTGCATATTATTTTCCTAGACTTCGGTTTATCGTTTGCATTTCATGTTCCCTTGTCGGTATTAACATGCTAATATCGGACATGGGTATACGTCAGAATTTCCCTGCTGAAGCTGCCAAAATAATTTTCTGCAAAATGGCTTCTTTGAACTCCCTCTGGTTTAACAGACAGACAATCCGGTGAAATAGCCAATTTTCACGGTTGCACCATCCTGCATCACCTGTAAAACAGTCCTGATGAGGAGCGAAGGGAAGGCAGGCATCCCGGAGCTGCTCTGTCTGCTGCAGACATCAATGAAATTCTGCGGAATCCCTTCAGCTTTCTCTACAGCTCTTCTTTTGGTCAAAGGGCGGCTTTGGTTGTTCCCCTGCCCCAGGTGTGTTTCTACCAGCCAGCTGGGATTTCCCTCCCTCTGACGGCCAATCTACTTTCTGGTGGGCATCGCAGTATTGGTTTCAAAAAGGCATTTTGTTATTGCGCATGTAAACATTTGCTATTCGAAAAGGCGGTTCATTACTGGCACTTCCATGGAAGGCAGCGCGAGGCAGCTCCGCAATCGACATCACGAGGACCACCGCTAGACTTCTGCAAAGAAGCAGGGATGTGTCAGCCCATTCCCGTTGGCCAGCCCTCGTGGACGTGTGGTGACAGCCCCACCACGGACCATCCAGCCTCGAGGTACACGACCATGGTGGAGGCATCCTCGTCACGGGCCGTCCGAGCTGCCTTCAGGTGGGTGGTCAGCAGTTAGCCAGAGGTAAGCCTGGCCCTCGGTCACAAGGCGAGAAAGCGCCCAAAAAAGCAGGTAACAACCTGTTTTCCTGCTGCTGAAAATTTCATACAGACATTTAACTTTGTATGCTGGCTTTCTCAGCCCTGGCTGCTCCTGACGCAGCCCGTGGTCGTGGATTCAGCGTCCTGACTCCCGCCCTCAGCAGGTGACAGCTAAAATCTTCGCAACAGCCCCCTAGCACCCAGCTTTACCCTCTTACAAACCGGGCATTAATGATCATTTTTCACTTCCAACTGATCCAAATAGACTTGGAGTCCTGACTGAGTTACCTGTGCAAAACTTCAAAAGTGATGAGATTACCTGGTAAATGTTAAACGCCGTTCCCAGTTAAAACACAGCCTCAGCATCTCCTCCGAGCATGGATGATGTAGGGGTTGGATGTGTGCTGGAAGACTAACTCTCAAGGTTACTGTGTTACCCAGTGAGCTGTTGCCTTAATTTTCGGCTGATGGCACTTTATGTACAGGGGACAGCAAGGAATTGAACCGAGTACCGAATGCATGGAGACTGAACGCCGGCTGTTCAGAAGGTAAGAAAGATGAGAAGCCACAGCCACTCTAAACTGGGAAAGCAGGGTTGGAGCTTTCCTCAGGAAGGTGGTTTCAGGCGACAGGCAACTAATTACCCAATTAATTTTTTTTTTTTTTAATATG